TTAAAAATATATTATTTCCACACATGAAACTCAAATGATATGCCATATCCTAAACAAACCATACAAACACATTTTATTGAATTCCTTCACAGTAATGCTTTATATTACTCTAATTTTAGGGACAAAAATGGTCTCAGAGTAATTAAGTAACTTGCTTAGGGTCTTGTAGCTAAGTAAGTATGAAAGTTCACTCAAATTTATTACTACATTCTGTTTTTCATTCCATTTAATCCTCTTGCACACACACACACACACACACACGCATGCATGCACACACACAAAGCATTTATGGTAATTCAACCTCACTTTTTTTTCTCTTGGGAAGAAACAAAGGTCAAAGATTTTAAATAACTGGTCCAATGTCATCTACTAAATGGCAGGGGTAGAATTTGAGCCTGGATGTTCTGATGATGACTGTGTTCTTTTTCTATTTCAACACAAGTGGCTTATAACATAAGCTGGGTGTTGGGGGGACAATCAAGTATCTTAAGTCACAGGAAAAGTGAGGTGATACAAAGAAGAAACAGATAACAGATACATTAATGAGGAAGGTGAACCTAAATACTGCTCTCTTAAATTCAGAGAAATAACACTAAACTGCCAGCTATTAAAAGCTTTTGGGAGCAAAGATTTTGTTATAGCATTAGAGGTTTATCTGGGAAAAAAAATGTAAACCATATGACATTCCACAAAATCTTTTTCATAAAGAAAAAAGAGAAGCTGTTATTTCACTGAGCTGTTGTCATGGTTACCTAAAACCCATGACTCTCTGCTGAAATGTGACTTTTTTTCTTCCAACTGTTTGCTTCCATGTGATGTGCTTTTCACCTGATGAGTGAATTCCCTGGTCACAGTTTGCTCATGTCTATCAGCTAGGAAATGTTTTTCCTCTCTGTTTCAGTTCATCATGACACCTATTCCTGATCCCCTTTTTATTTTTATGCCTAGCTTATCTGTTGATTGCATCAAATTAGATCTAATTATGCTGAGCACAGGTAGTTTGTACTTAAATGTTATTAAGCAAAGCTCCACCTCCAAATACAATCAACTATTATAATTGATGACAAACATGGCCTCTACTTTAAAATGTTGGGGTGTTAAATGAATAAATGAGCAAACAACAGACATGAATTAAGAACATAGGCTTTCCAAAAAATTTAATTAATTACCTGATTTTAATATATTAATAGAAAACTGACCAATAAATATGATTAACCTCATTTAAATTACCCTCAGCTATGTTGCAACTTGGTTCGTCTTCTTTCTGGTATTCTGTCTTTCTTTGTATGCACACACAGACATACATATGGAACTACCAGAGAAATATACAAAATATGTGATATACAAATTTGGGTAAATGGCTGATACTGCTATTGTTGTATCCTTGGCACTGGGAATCCAGTGCTATAAAAAAACTGCAGTTAACGGTCTTAGCAATCTACCCATGCAGAGTTTAATATTTTATCTATGTTAGCGTTGGAGCTAATGTTTCTTTGATGTTAAATTTTATTAAATTCAGCATTTATTTGTAAAGCCTGTTCCATGTGTATATTATGGCCCTGAGCTCTGTGGATACAGTAATATTTAGAAATGATCACTACCTTGGAGCAGCTGACAGGCTGGTAGATACAGACAGGGTTGAAAACCATTACATGTAATGAAAAGTTACAGGTGCCGTGATATAAATCGGTACAAAACTGTAACGAAAGCGCTGCTATAACGAAAGCACAAAGGGGAGTGGGTCAGCTCTACCTGAGTAATAGAGGCGGGTCAGTAAAAGTCTCAGGATATTTTCATTATGATATAAATTAAAAGGACTCCATCACTCTGTCGGCCCATTTTGTCTGGGACAGGAGAATTTTAAGGGAAGCAAAGTGATTATATGTCAAATTATACATTCAGAAATTATTGGGTTATTTGACCCCTTCTGAACCTAAATGGATCCTTATAAATAAGAAATAACACGGCTGACTTAAAAAACACAGCAGTCAGAACCAATTGGTTTTAGTCCTCAGATGTGTGACTTTGGACAATCATCTTACCGTTTTAGACTCTTCTGTAGTTTTCAAATAAAATGCACAGGCTACCCTAGATATCATTGCAGATCTCTCAGCTCAGAGTTAGTAAATGCTATCAAATCTCTAAAATCTCAGTTTTGGGGCCAAGTAAAAAGATACCTGAAACCAATAAAAAAAAGAAGGCTTTATGTGAAAGGGGCATCGGTCTAGCTAATTCGGAAGGTCTTAATTAACTCAATCTAGAAACTATCTGATCTCATCTCACACAAAATGGTCTATTTCTTAATCAATTTGGGCAAAGGCATTCAAATTAATGATGTGTTTATTATAAAACCTGTATTTTTGGAAAGTGAAAGTAAAGAGATACCAAAACAATCTCCATATTCATTAACTCAAAGATTCTCAGTGCTGGCTACACATTAGAGTCACAAAATGAGGTTTTAAAAATGCAGACACTTAAAGGCCCGGGGAGGTGGCTCAGGCCTGTAATCCCAGCACTTTGGGAGGCCAAGGCAGGCAGATCACTTGAGGTCAGGAGTTTGAGACCAGCCTGGCCAGCAGGGTAAAACTCCATCTCTACTAAAAGTACAAAAAATTAGCCAGGTGTGGTGGTGGGCCCCTGTAGTCCCAGCTACTAGGGAGACTGAGGCAGAAGAATTGCTTGTACCTGGGAGACGGAGGTTGCAGTGTGCCAAGATCATGCCACTGCACTCCATCCTGGGTGTCAGAGCGAGACTCCATCTCAAAAAACAAACAAAAAAATACACCTGGACTTTACAACTTCACAGAAGACCACTTGAATCTGAATTTCTGACAAGAAATTAAGTGCGTGAAACACTTGGCAACATTTAAAAAAAAAAAAATCAAGGCTTTTTTTGGAAGCTTCCTAGGTGATTTTGACATTGGGAACTCTGAATTAAATCAGTGTAAGCAGTTGATCGTAACTTTTTAAAAGAACTTTGTAACCAGCAAGGCTGTGCAAAGGAATGGAAATAGTCAGTGTGAGTTGGGTTTGACTGTCAACCTCTGTCACTGATAATCCCTTGACCCTACTAAAACACAGTAGATGAGCAGCAGATGTTCATTCATTTCACCTTTCTCAGTTGCACTGTGGTTTGCTTGTTCCTCTTTGGTCATCTTCCGTCCACTCTGGTTTCTAATTTTTTTTTCGAAACCTGTTCCTACACAGCACTTTAATCATAGAACAAGGTTGAAGTTAAGAATTGCAAAATTTCAGTTCAGGGCTTACCTATTAGAGATAAAAAATTTTTTTTTGGTCTTGCTTTGTTTGTTTTTTGCCAGACAGTATTACAATTGAACACATTCATGAAGAGGGAAAGAAAGGAAACAAGTTCCACTCAATAATTAATAAGTAATTTGGAAAAATGATACTCATCTAGTTCTGGATAGCATCTGGTATTACACATCTCAGGTAATTAAAAATCAATGTGTATCTATCTATTAAGCTTTCTTGTGGATGTTGCAGCTCATTTTCATAATTTTCACAGTCCTCCAACCTTTCCGGGCAAGTGAAGCCATGTAGTTAAAGAAAGCTTTACAACTGACTGAAGATCCCATGTGCAATCCTGGCAGTTTTTTAAACAAGAACAGAGGATATAAGAGCTAGATGAGAGTTTGCACTTTAAGGTAGGAGTTCTGAAAGCTTATTGAAATATATTTTTTTCCAAGCACATTTTTTTTTCTAGCCTTTCCTGCGCAAAACTCATTACTTTTGGTAAGCAACTGACTAATAACACCAGAAATTATACAGTGGCCTTTTTAAAATAAATTTCAATAGACTCCACTAGGATGGAGTACAAACCTGGCTGGGCAGAGAAGGCCATTTACATTTCAAAACTGCAGATTGTCAGAAATGGAGTGCAAGATTCTTCCCATCCCATTCACATATTGGGCTTAATTTCATAGAACATTGCTAGTCAAAGTACTGCATTAGAAATTTTTGGAAGCCAGGCAGAAAAGCATTCATTTCACATATGGTTTTAAGAAGATAAATAATTAAACACTTATTTCTTTGTCTTCCCTTTGCTTCTAATTCAGAATGAAAAATTCAGAATAGATGAAATAGGAATTTAATTTCAAAATAGTAATCTTTCATGTTGTATCTAAAGTTTTCAAGGACTGAGAAAGAAAGCTGCTTCTGCAGGCTAAGGAAAAAGACAGAAGGAGACAAATCATTTAGCTAAAGAGATCACAGCTGTCAAATCCTTGAAAATAGGTTACAGTGGCCAGACTATTGGACTATTCTCCAATAGCCAGACTATTGGAGAATAAATATGATTTTTTGCTGCTTATTACCTGCGTAATCTTATGCAAGTTAAAAAGTATCAACCTTTACAACCGCTAAAATGGGGAAAGACTGATGAGCATTAATGAATGAATGCACAAAAACACTTGCAACAGGGCTCACACATGCTAGATGTTCAATGAATATTAGCCATCCTCATTATTTACCTGATTAAGCCTCAGGATCTTCATACTTTAAAAAATAAAGATCTAATCCAATAATTTGTTTATCCTGATGAATCACCATAGACATTTAGTAAATTCTGCCTTCCCAGGACCCTCTCTTGAAGATGCTGACAAATGAGTCTAGGATAGGGCCAGGAATTTGCATTTTTAATTTGTATACCATATGAATTCTATTGTGAGTAATAATTTTATAATTCAGAAGCATTAGCTTATATCATTTAATCATCCAAATATGCATTCATTCATTCATTGATTCAATTCACAAAATACATAATGAGCTATTGTCATTTTTAAAGGCACCAAACTGTGTTCTGGGAAATGCAATAATGAATCAAGTACCCTGTTCATTCCAGTTTAGGAACCTAGTAAAAGACATTAGACAACTAATCACACAAATACCTAAAGTGTGCTATAAAGTAAAAATACAAGGTACACTGAGAGTTCTTAACAGGGCATCATTTCTATACCTTGCCTGAAGAAGGCACACCTTACCTGCCAAGAGGAGAAGAATGATGCTGGACTGAGTAGGTTAGGATTTGCTGGGTGCTGAGCTCCCATGTACTCATCTGTGCAAATGTCACACTTCTCTGCATCGCGCCAGTCCCAATATGGAATAGTGAAGTTTTCGTCTCCTGTTATCTTCTGGATTTCTTGTTCCCACCGCAACAAGAAGAGTCTATGCCAAGGCAGAAAACCTGGTGCTTCATGGGCAAAATCAATGTCTTTCCAGATTTTAGATCCCCCAAGCAGTGCATCCATTGACACATAATAATGTATCCAGACAAAGAGGTCATAAATGTTGATGTCACTGAACATGGGTGCTGATCCATTTTTCATTTGGCCATAGGTGCCTGTGGGGATGACATAGTCTGAGCTGATAGTATGCTTTGCTAAAGTGAGGTAGGCCAAAAATTTGTCCTTCTCTGGAACACTCAAATCAAAGATACTTCTTCTCACCAAGAGTCGTCTCTCTGTGCAGCTTGGTCCCCAAAAGCCAAACTTGCAGCTTCCACAGTTGAATCCCATGAAGTTGCCAGAGCACTGGCAGGTCCTATTATAAAAGATAGAAGGCCATGACTCCCGGTCATCCACTCCTGTGAAGGGAAATTGAGGCCCAAGTGGTGCATTGGACAGAAGGATATTCTGACAGGAACCTCTGCCTGAAAGCTGGCCACAGGGACTCCCGTCGCCACTCCACGGTGGGCAGCATTCCTTCTCCATCAGGTTCTTAGGGGAGACACAGGCTCGAGGGAAATGGCCAGCGGAGGTCTGAAAACTCCACAGCAGGCAGCACAAGACAGCCAGGAGCATTATTCCGGTAGGCTTCACAAGGTCTGCTGGAACTGATTAATTGGAGTCACAGACTTCTCTTTGCAGCTACTCCTACAGTGACTATCACATGTCTTGGCTGAGACCTATATAATACCACTCCCACCTCCAGCATCAAACACTTTCAGTCTTTATCTTAAGCTTTCATCCTCTGAAAAGCACATGACTGACTTTTCTTGGGAATTGGCACATATCCCGCCAGTGGGATAGGCCTATGCTAAGGTGAAAAGCTCTATTCACCATTAATAGTTTAATTTTTATGGTTAGAATATTAACAATAAGGTTAATAACAATGCCCGATGTAAACACACCCAGCTAACAGACTACAAGATTGATGATGATTTGAACTTGCAAATGAGAGGTGGTATCAGGAATAGCACTTCTCTTATTAAGAAAGTTTAGAAAGTATTAGAGATTATGGGTTTAAGGTTGTTATTTCTCAGAGACCATGAACAGGCTACAACATTTCAAGAACTCAGTTTGCAGAGAGAGATTGTCTTCAGAGTCCAGAGATACTTGGTTATATATTATTGAATTTCAGTTTACTTATTTTCCCTGATAATCCTGTTGCATTTTCTGACAAGTCCTAAGAATAGCTGACTTTGATAGCTAGGTGATCTTCATTGTGGGGCTATCCCACGGCAAAGAGCTCTTTCTTTTTCTCTCTCTCCTTTTCTCTGTGTGTCTCTCTCTCTCCAATGCTATAGCCGTGTTGTTTTACATACAAATTCTAGAAATTAGGAATTTATTTGAAAATGTTTTTGCAATGTGTTTTGTGCAAAGAAATTCTCAATTAGTGAATGAAAAAGATTTTTTCAACAAATATATTTTGATCATGTCAATTATTTCAGAAGTTTCTTCTTTGTGTGTGCAGTGAGCTAAAAATACAAATTGACTATGTTATTTTCCAATAAATAGTATAGATAATAAGTAAAACAGACTTTTAATAGAAGAGAAGTATTTGCGGGCTGATGATATTAGAAAGAATTGCATAACTTAGGATAATCATATGCAAGTGTTATCAAGGTAATGCCCTTTATTACTTCCTCAAAGAGTGGGCATGAGTTGGACAAAAAATTGAGAATAGATTCAATACCTGAGGCAGGGGAAATACGTGGAGGTGGGAGTTGTGTTTCATCTGTTGAGTTGGAGCATAAAACTCAAATAAGCCTCCACACATCGTAGAATATTAAACCTGGGCCCAATCCATGGAGGAGCTTAAAGACTTTGTGGTTTGAACTAAGTTGAGCCTTTTGTGAGCTGAAGAATGACAAAATGAGAATAGTCAAATCAATGTTGCCCATCTGAAGCTTTCTTTTTTGTCCTCCTCCATACTTAAAGCTGGGTGGTCCCCTGAAATTAATGAAATAGGGAAAGTGGAAGCTTTGAGGAGATCGTGAGTGTTTGGGCCCTTAGCTGAAGGGTTCTAGGAAAAGCCATCATTATTTTGATGGTGCTAGAGTGTCAGCCTGCTCTGCTTTTTTCTCTTTTTGCTGGAGTCTGTCTCATTATTTAAGGAAAAAAAAAAAAAAAGTCAAGGCTACTCCATACAACTTTTTTGAGAACTAGAGGAGGCTTTGCAGTATATGGAGCAGTGTGTGGGTGAAGAGGAAGAGAAGTTTCCATGGAAATGCTGCCTCTGGCTGGGATCGGGAAGTCATCACATGATCTCCGCAAGGAAGCTTAATCTTTTTTTTCTCTCTCTCTCTTTCAAAGCCACAAAGAGATTAACACAAGGCTTCATGTCCCTGGGGAGCCTTGGTTCTGCATTACTTGTAACCACATGTGGCATTTTGTAATTCTTTTCTATCTATTTGCAGACAGAATTCAACTTCTTATGTTGACTTCAATTAAGAATTTTGCCTTACACTTGCCCCACTATCAGACTTCTAGTGAAATAACTTAGAAAGTCTTCATCATGTTCTTTAACGGCCTTTGTGTCTGCTGTCCTGTCTGTTTTTCACAATCTTTAGAGCCTTCTTAGAGGAATTACTAAAATGCTCCTTGTCCTATTAATTTCCTTTACAGAGTTGATTTTCTTAAATAGACCTCTTCATTTGTCTGCAATAGGAGCTACGGTCTCCTCTGCCCTACATGTGTTGTAGTCTTCAGTCTTATTGCCAGTCCTGGGTTCCAAAATATTAAACCCCTCTTAGAGTGCTTCCTGACTCAGATGTACATTTTTCTTTTTTTTTTTTTTTTTTTAAGATGGACTCTCACTCTGTCACAAGGCTGGAGTGCAATGGTGTGATCTTGGCTCACTCCAACCTCTGCTTCCTGAGTTCAAACGATTCTTCTGCCCCAGCCTCCTGAGTAGTTGGGACTACAGGTGTGTGCCACCACACCTGGCTAATTTTTGTAATTTTAAGAAAAACCAGGTTTCATCATGTTGACCAGGATGGTCTCTGTCTCCTGACGTTATGATCCACCCACCTCGGCCTCCCAAAGTGCTGGGATTACAGGAGTAAGCCACCATGCCCAGCCTAGATGTACATTCTTTAGGTGTCTTCAGGCTATAGGATTTGAAAGGATCCTATCCTATTTTGGGAGACTTATTTTATGACCTGACGTGAAATTAATGCAATACACTGTAAAGTAGGATTAGGGGTTCAGTAAATACTCTGCAAGTATTTACTGAGCACCACCTATCAGACATACAGGGAGAGATGGGAATGCTAAGAATGACAAAAATATCACAAAGGATATGGTCCCTTAAAATAATATTTTAATTTTGGTAATTTTAAATAATATTTTTAACTACATGTACTTTAAATAACTTTTTTTCTGGATTAAATTACTTTTTAAGTTGCTATAAGAGAAAATTAAAGAGAGAAATTAGAGAACATGACAGAAGTGCCTTTCTAGTCTCATGAGGGGAGGGGTAGTCTGGGATTATTTTATGGGAGAAGTGACATTTCAAGTGACACTTGAGGAATCAGTAGAAGCCTGTTTGATGAAGAGGAGAACAGTGGGAGTGTGAGCTTTCCAGGCGGAGACAATACCATAAGGAAAGTCTCCAAAGCGGAAGTAGGTTGGTATATTCAAGGGATTTAAAGATAGTTAACATGGCTGCAACCACCAAAATGGTAGAGGTGTGATATAGGTATGAAGGTGTGTGTAGGGACCACCTCATCATCCATAAAAGCTTCGGAGCAAAGTTTTGGGTAATCATACATGAATTTCAAACTTTTCACTGTAGCTATAGAGGTGAGAACAGATGTGAGGTGGAGCTAGACTACATGTAGAAATAATTGTTAGGAGATTATTGATGTAAACTAGGTAAAAATGATGTTGCTTAGACTAGAATAATGATCCCTGAGATGGATGTAACTTAATGAATTTGAGAGATAAGTAGGTGATAAATTTAAGAACAGTAAGAAGTGAAGGGAAAGAAGATTTGGGGCTATAAGCTAGGTTTTTGGCTTGTGCCGTTAACTTCAAATAAGGAACAATAGAGGCTAAATGTTTGTGGGAATTGAGTATGCGTTCATTTTTAGGTATTCTGAGTTTGAGTATAAACTAGCCACTTTCACTGCTCCTCTATTTCTGGTATTTATATAGATCATTCACTCACTCACTAGTGTTAACCTAGTCAATCTTCCTCTTTTTCCTCACTTAGAACCTTGTATTTCCTCTTTTATTTGGAGGTGGTTTGAATCCATTTTCTGGTTTTGCTTCTCAGCCCTCCTTTCAGTTACAATAGCAGCTACCATTTGTTAAATACAACTAATATAATTATATCAGTATCAACAGCTACCATTTAAAGAAAAAAATTACTGTTGAAATATGTAGCCATCAACTCTTTGTATTTGAAGTTTAGACTCATTCATTTGTTCAATAAATATTGAGTATTATTCCTAAGAACTTATAGTAAATACCAAGAGCATATAAGTTATATAAGTCACTGACCCTTAATTTGATGTTATGAAGTCAGACTCTCTGATATACAAGGTCTGCCTTGTGTATTAGTTCTCAGGCCCCATGGGAAGAAAAAAGGGGAGAAAGAATTAGCATATAATTAAGATTTGTTCAGTAATTTCGCTTATCACAACCTGAGTATGCTCAAGTCTACCACACAGGGCTGTTTGGACTTTTAAATTATTTAATAGATATTAAACATTCATTATAAGGTCTGACACATATTAAGTACTTAATAAATGTTTACCGTTTTCATTAAAGACCACAAATTTGGTGCCAATAGTGCTCTTCACTATAGTGCTCTCAATACTTTTAGGATATTTTTAGTCTTAAGATCTTGGGAATAAGTATTTTATTGGCTATAATTAAATAACTTTGCTTGAAATTGGCCCCTCCTTCTCTCCTTAGCAACCCGAATTGCCCTTTTTCTCCAATTAAAACCTTGTTCCTTAGAATATTGAATGTCTGCAATTACACTGAGATGTCATACAATTTGACATAGAATTTGGAAATTGGCACACGCTCCTTCTCTTACCAATAATGCTTTTCTTTCTTATTGACTTGCATAATTTCTATGCATACTGTAAGATACATCTCAGGTGTTATAACTTCAAGAAAGCCTTTCCTGATCTTCAGACGTTCTCTGAATATAAGCTGGGGGACTATCTTGCATTTTCTCATTCAACCCTGAATTCAACCTTTGTCATGGCACTCACAACAATTTATATAATCTACTGATGTTTCTCACACCCTGTCTATATCATAAATCCTTTAAGAATAAAAATGTGGTTTCACACCAAATGCTTAGAACATTGCATGTCAAGTATATCTTTAGTAGATGTAGAATGGATGGATGAATCAACAGTTCAATTTCTTCTTTTATTTTCCTTATTTTGTAAAATACATGTTCTAAAATATTTCAAAAATGTAGAAAAACAGCACTTACGAATTCTTTACCATAGTTAATAAATTTTAAAATTTTAGACTAATGGATGCATTTTTAAGATCACATGGTATCATTTTGGATGCAGGAAAAGCAGAGCTAGAGGAGGAATGGTAAAAGTATTGTGCTAACCTACCCTGTGTTAGCCAGACAGATTCCATTTTGCTGAGAGCCAGATAGACTCCATCTTGACCTCCACCTCACCCCTCCTGCCACTCCTCCCTTAAGCACATACCTGGGCCTTGCTACTGTGCTGGGTCATGCTGTGCTTAGAACTACAGAAACATACAACCTTTGTAACCCATAGCCTGCTTGACAAGCCCACTTGCCATTGTGAATGCCCCCCCTCTTGATTGGTTATATGACAAGTATCAAACACCTCCCGTGGTAACTGGCAATCATGGGAACCACTTGTGTATACCCTCCTTAAAATTCAACAATCATGAGAACCTCCTGCCTCCTAGTTACCAGCATCCTTATCTAACTTGCTTGTTCTGCTTCTGTAAACTCTGCTCCAGCTAGGTTCCCCCTCTCCTACCTAAATCAAAATATAAGAGAGAATCAAGCCCCTTCCTTGGGGCTGAGAGAATTTTAAGCGTTAGCCCTCTCTTGGTCCC